TGTTGACTACCAAGCAGCTATAAAAAATCTACAACTATCATTTTCTCCATTGAATTGTCATAAACTCTTCTTAAAGTAAGTATGCACTGTTTAGTGCCAAATTATTTTCAATTTGGTTGACTGTTGTTCTTTCGTAAATGTATGCATTTATGTCAGCTGACTGTATCTATTTTATTAACCATTTCAAGGACATTGTATAGTTAACGAGGATAATAGGCAACACAGTAATGCATGTGTAAAATGCGTCATTAAGCCTTGCATGAAATGTTTCAGTTACATATAATACGGTTGCGCATAGCATTAGTATGTATTAGTGTTAAGAGGAAAATAGCCGTCGAATGTGTTTGTGTTCTAATAACTAAATATAATCTATCAAACGTAGACCGTATACGTACACGACCTGTATTGGTAGTCTAGGCACTTCATGCACACAATGATACGTATATTCTATTTATTATAAGTAGTCTATTATTCTTATGCGTCGGTGGCATAGCGGATAGGACGCTCGCCGACCATGCACATGGTCCGGGGTTCGATCCCCGGCCGGCGCACTCCTTTGCCTCGCTAAGCCAGAAACAATGCTGGTGAAGAGGAAAGGTTGAGCATGAAGCTAGCAAACCCATCTCATAAAATAAACACTGCTAAAGAACCTTCAAGCCACTAGCTTGAAGCCCTATATTTCACTGGGGAACGTGAAGAAAAAATTATTCTTATGATGCGTGTTACAGCACTGTATTAGAGGAAATCTTTAGGTAATGAATAGACGATTAGATCACTCTTCTTATGCTGGCATTTAGTATCAACAGGTCCTTACATGATAATATTGCCGCTTAGACTTAAGTATTAGTTGACAAAGTCGCTTAACTTCATTGATTATTTTGTTGTCGTAAAGTGCTGTAAATAATTACATAGGCTTCTGCTGTGCATATCACCTGTTTACAGCCCATCAGCGGAAGTAATTGCTGAAAAGCAATTAAAGTATCTCATTACACCCATTTCAGTTACACTTCATCCGGACTTTTTACGTAAATCACGTCTTCTAAGTTGGAATCACTTTTCACTTCGACAAACAGAACGTATTAATAATGTATAAATGTCTTGTAAACTTTTTAGAAATATTTATTTCGACAAATACACTCATAATATCACAAATGTTTCATCATTCAAATGCATGTTCTCCGTTTATTTTTCATAAAAGCCTATAAATAAGTTTGCCGATTGCGGCAATAACGATCGTGGCCTGGGGAATAAAAACGGTAAAAGATGTGTTACAGAGCGGTTACTATTGAATAAGTGCTACAACACAAAACACCAATTATTTGGAAGGTTGACTCTCCACTGTTATTTTAACAACCAAACGACTCACATTCCTACAGAGCTGTACAATTTTGTGAGTATTATGAAACTTTCATAACCGTCATATTCAAAACACTTCTTTATTTTTTCCTAAATATTTGTAATTTATCCAACACATACTTGGGTCTTTTTTTGTAAATGCGAAGACAGTATTTCTATATTACTTTATGTGCTCCACTGAACGACCAGCTATCAGACTGTACTTACTAACTAATGTCAGAGAGGACAGCAACCATGTAATTTCACTATAAATCAAATTCATGTAATGTAAATAATAATTATCTATGCCTGTACAGTTGGTGTGTCCTACATAGATAGGAAATATATATCATTTAGGAAAATATTTTCCACTTACCTAAACTTTTTCACAATTCATACCGTAATTAACACTTTACAAGGAATTTTAACATTCCTGATGCACAGTATTAACTCACTTCGATGAAAACTAGATGTTCCATCAAAATGCTGGAAACGACTATTTTTCTCAATATTTATAGGTATTTTGGTTAAAATACGGCATTTGTAATGCATTTCAGTCAAAAAACGCCTGAGAACAAGGTGAAACAACCCAGACACAACATCACGATAACAGATGATTTCTACAGCATTCAGCTGATGTGTGCCACATTGCCTATGAATCCTTTAGCCTATCATTCAAATGGGGATCTTCTAACTAGTTAACTTCCTCCGTTAACTTCACTTCACTCTTAGTCTTGAATACTAATGGCTTTTATTTCACTGCTCTGTAATTCTAATCACAAGAACATTCGGAACCCCTTGACCATTTATAACGATTCACTACTCTCTCATTTTAGATATATTTTTGTGAGAATAGATATATGGACACATTACAGTGTACCGCTATGGCGTGACTTTCGCATTTTTCCCTCGTTCGTTACCATTCGTCAACATCTAGCGAGCAGACTGTGACAGTCTAGGTTGTTGTGGTACTCTGTTTGACCAAACTAACGTACACGTATATCCTAGTACTTCTTTGCGTTTATTATTGTGTCCTAACATTGTGATCACTCGACATCCACAACGTAAATCAAAAGGCACCTGAGAAGGAGTACAAACGTGCAGCAGTCAAAATTCAAAAGTTTAGCGAGTACATTGTATCAATTGATAACACGTAATCTCCTTCAAAAGGGCACCCAACACTATGTGTTATAAAAGCGGCGTAGACTTTATCAAACTTCCTCTTTTCTTATAAATATTTTCTGCACTCTGATTTACGAATTTAACTGCGTTTCCGCAACATCTTTGCATAATTAGATCAAATGGAAGGGGAAGACCCTCCCTTTATTGCTACGATACGTTTTAACTAAATCGTCAATGCAAGATATTATAAAATTCCATACCTGTAACTCTTCGGTAGAAAATGAACCGTGTGTTTGTCGGGTATTGGCTGTTTTAAATCATGAATACTTACTTGCCGCTTGCGCCCTTCCCTTACATTTTACTTCTGTCTTCTCTTTCAACAGGTACTGTGGTGAGAGATGGTCGCTAGCCAAATCGGTTGACAGTAATTGAGGTCAAAGGTCAAGGTGGACAGGCGGATGCAGTTAACATATAGATGAACTGACACAGCCACAAGATATACAAGGTTAACTTTGCGTGAGAAACAACCAATCAACAGACAGTATTTTCTACTAACCTTGACCTACAATAATGTACATGAAAATCTATAAATACGTGTTGATTTTCCGAAATAAACGATCTGTTGCCTGGCCCTTGTCTTCTGTTGTTACATTTGGTGTCGCTGCCTACCGACAAATGGAAAGCCTATGTCCTGCAGTTTATGATGGAGACATATGGATCTTCGGGCAGGACTTTGAGGCTTCTTCGCAGTTGAGTGGCGTTCAAGATCTGTCAGCGATGAGGCTGCTACTTGGGACGCTGCTGGGAGGTCGGGAGGAAGCAGCATATGGAAGTGTGAGGCGAAATACCTACGAATGTGTGACAGGGTCAGGCAAACAGTTTCCAAAGTGGGAAGGACCATATATGGTCACGTTGAGATGGGGTGACGCAGACGCAATCGCAATGGCAAACACAGAGAAACAAGTGAACATCCGCAAGCGCCGAGACTTCAGAGAGCAAGACAAAAGAGAAAAGCCCCAAGAACCGAGAAGACCGAACCAACTTCAGTCGCAAGTCTTTGACGGGGGGACGAGTGTGGTGAGAGATGGTCGCTAGCCAAATCGGTTGACAGTAATTGAGGTCAAAGGTCAAGGTGGACAGGCGGATGCAGTTAACATATAGATGAACTGACACAGCCACAAGATATACAAGGTTAACTTTGCGTGAGAAACAACCAATCAACAGACAGTATTTTCTACTAACCTTGACCTACAATAATGTACATGAAAATCTATAAATACGTGTTGATTTTCCGAAATAAACGATCTGTTGCCTGGCCCTTGTCTTCTGTTGTTACAGTACTACCCTGGATCATAACACTGGGACAGCAATTTTATCCTCCGCACTAGTATTACTCGAAGGAACTGTTGAAACTACTGGTGTCAAGGAACTTAACTCTAAGTTCCCAATGTTATGAAAACGCTCCGAACCGATAATTACTACGACTGATTCTCGACTTTAAGTCCCAAACACCAGTGGTTGTAAGAAAGAGGTTGTATTATTTGGCAATTAAAATCGAGGCCAGTAGATAGTCTGTAAACAGATTTTTTACAATAAATATACTGCACTTTTATTCGTATTCTTTCGTGTTTTTCCAACTTGTACGCGATTGAACCGCCAATGGCGACCAAGGCCAATGAACCAACGTTCAATGTTCATATCTGTTGATAATTGGAGTTTACACTTTTCAAATATTTTAGAATACTCTTCGTTCATCTGATGAATATCGGAACAGCCTTCGTCATGAAACCTGTTAATTAATTAAAAGCTTACCCCATTTAACTGTGAACAATACCATAATGTTGCACTTATAAAGGACTGTGGAAATGTTGAAATTTTCAAAGGCAATATCCAGGACCACTGTCTTCGTAAACTAACAACGCTTGTGTATTCTGGACCCTTCACGCTTCTCCATAGCACCAGTCGTATCAGACTGCCACCTGCCTTCCAACGATGTAAACAGGTATTAACTGCAAGTCTAACTACCATTTCTGTTAAACTATTAGAAAGAATCACGAGTAATGTTGTTATTCAGCACACTGTATGTTATGAACTCACGCCAAGAAATAGCGCGGTTTTATGACTGGTTATTCCTGCTTCAAGAACTTTCATTTGACACAGGAAAGTTGGGCTAACTTAGACGATGCTAGTGACCCAGCGGATCTCATATTATTTTAGAAAGGCTTTCAGGACCTTTCGATAAAAAGGTAGTCTAGGAGTGAAGTTTGTCATTCCTGCACCTCCTATTAATTAATCCCAAGCGAATTGGGCACTTTCTGTATAGAATAATGAAAGAATTAGTACATGTTTGAAGCCTACTATTCTTCCTTGTCTGAAATGTGGAACCGATTCCAGTGATGTCAAATACGTGCTATGAGTGATACGTCCCTTCTGAAACTAACAGTTTTGTGCTATTTCCAAATTTCACGAAGTAACGAAAATCAGCGGAACCTTCCAGAGAAGGACAATTGTTTTTTCCAAACAAGATGGAGGTCAAAAATTATTGGACATCCAATAGCGACCTTCACAATCGAAAACAACATATCTTGTTAAGCGCCAGTCACAAGTTCCAGCAGCAACCTTACCAATATATATTTGGTGTGTAGAGTAAATCGTGGATTTACTATTCTATTTGTAAATGGACCATAATACCCTGCGGAACATATTCAGGAAGTAAGCATTGGAATTTTTCTCTAAAAACATTCAAAAGGGTCGACAAAGATGGAAGTGGTAGTATTTCTGCTAATGAATTACAGTCCAGTTTATCTAACGGTGAGTTATACACTTAGATGAAAACAATTGATTTGGTTAATTAAATGCTCAAAAGACATATCTGTGACATGATATCCACCAGATAAACCAGTAACTTTGTAGGTACCATGATACCTGCAGTTACTACAGTCATCTAATAATCGTATTCTTATCTTTTTGAGGAAAATCAAATGTATAGGGTATTAAGTTTACTGAAGAGTTCACGTGAGATTCTTTAGGATTGTGTTCTTGTATCCAACGATACTGGCAGTACTTAAACACGTCTAGTGATAATGAATGAACTGTTAGATGTCCAAGTACAGCACCTGTTCAGTGATAATGTATAAAAGATGACCCTATAGTTTTCTCATAGTCTCTCAGACATTTAATATTTTTCGTATTGTTTTGGACTAAATATACAATACAGGTTTAATGTTCCTAAACTAGACGTATTAGAAATATCCGGCATCAATTTAAAATTTGTTTGTGCGAGTTTGCACTACAAATTCAGAAGTTTTCACTATGAAGGAGAATCTTGAGGAAAACTTCAAACATTTCTGTGTATACATAGCAAAGAGATTTCCACCAATCTGGTGTCACACGCCAATTTGGACTATAATTGGGGGTGTCGTGATGTTAGCCTGGCCACCGATGGTTGGTTTACAGTCAAGTTCTGTGCTAGTGAGACTTGGTATCTCTGAGTCGAGGATGTGCAGCGAATCTCAGTATTCTATTATCTTTACCTATAAAGTATTTTTTTACACTGATTGACGGCACCGTACAAGTAAATATGAGGTTCAGGAGCGTGTTAAAACACTATAGAGGTCATCTTTCATTGGGTGTTGTCATCTTGGGACACCAAGTTCACTGGTTTGAACACATACTACGGATGTCAGCTCAGCAGCTTTGGGACTGGGTTAAAAGTGTGCAGGGTTAGTCAGCTCATGACTCGGCGTCATAGGGTGTGAAATAGTTGTTGAGATAGCATCTGTTGGTACATTGCAAATTTATAGATGGAGTTCGATAAGTAATTCAAGTCAGTGGCTCAAGATTCTACTATATGTGGCTGATAGTCATAATCACTGGCGAGCGTGCTACAATTTCCTCCTTTTCTATCTGTTTGGGAGTAGGAAGTCGATAAACCCTCAATAAATACTCTTCATCACTATGCTTTCGTGATCTGTGACGGTTTTGTTCCTTAATTATTCTGTTTCTTTTCAATGTGTAGCTTAATTATTTTTGCGTAGTACATCTCTTAGTCACCATGTTATATTTTATGTGTAAGTAATAATTGTCGAATACGATTTTTCACTAAATATATACGACATCGTTGTGAATCTGTATCCGATTTCCAACAACTGGGAAACTGATGTCCTTAGTCTAATGTAAAAAGATGTAACATGCTGATAACAATGAAAATCCTCCAGTAGGGGAAGACCTTTATGTTGGATTTAAATAGTATAATAAAAATAGTTTTGCTTAGTAAGTGTATCAAGTCGACGAATATTATCACGCAAATCACATTCAACGATTGTTCTGATTGTACTTTTCAGGTAATTAGGTAATATGACTAATCGAATTATTACCATTGATTTATCAGCTTGTCATGGTGGACTTATTTTTCCTTGAAACATACTGTCTTCTAAGTATCTGATTGTAGAGACACCTTTTAATTTAGCTTCATTAATTGGATGTCTTTCCAGAATCTATCCAGAACCACGACTGGATACTGGACCAGTTGCTGTATAACTTAATTGACACTCAGTACTACTTGGAATTTCCTAAATACTGTGAGGACAATTAATGACTTGAATTCGTTTAATGTTTTCTTCAATTCGATTGGTTAATTATTCGTTTATTTTTCAACGATCTAGCCACATTCACTTAGTACAGAAGCACTTTATGTTAAAATACTTGAAAATATGATAATTAAGGTGAGTCGGAACCTCTGGCTGTTGATTCCTAGCGTCCCTAGGAGTATAACAAGGCGACATCTATCTCCTCACACACCTTGGACAATGGATAATGCCTTCATGTGCTGGCACTGTTTCCGTGTAATCAGCCTTACTGTCTTCCCAATCTAATCCTATTTAAACTAACGTTCCTTGAAAAAGGAAGGCTGCATGACACGCATAACACTTCCAGCCTGAGTGTACAATGTTATTTTTACTGGCTCAAAATATTATTAGGAGGTAACCATTTGTTTCAATTGTCATCGTTCTGTGTGTTACTTTCATTCTAAAATCTACTCTCCATCATTTTAGTGTCTGACGCTTTTCGTTTGATGTGTTAATCCTCTTACTGACTATGTTTACTTTAATGTTGAGGTTTATGTGGATGTGTAGACAGCCACACTCTAGGTTCTTTTACTTTCATTATTTTAATTCATTCTAATCAGAACAAGATGATTGTGAGCCAACAATTGTGGTTTCAATAAATTCTCCCACAGGATCTCTACTACAGTTATGAATCCATGAATATTATAGAATACAAATAGCCAGTCATTAATGGCGTGTGAAAATTATATCGGAAACTGTCTGCATTCGGGTACATGTATAATATGGAGTGATAGTTCGGTATTTAATACTGTCAAATGAATAATGCATATAAAAATGTTCAGTCATTCAGAACATAAGATAAAGTGTTAATAGACAGAAGGGTGACAGACTAGTGTATTTATAGTCAACAGAATATAAGTTTCACTGGGGGTAGGGTGCGGTGGGGTGAGTTATGTTCAATGGTGTGAGAGGAAAATGATTACCACAAAATACATACAAATGAATACCATAAAAATGGGGAACAAAGAATGCAAGTTAGGCAAGAGCTGGCAGATATCAAGTGTATTGATAAAATAAAGAGGTTAAATTGTGAACTGTAATAAAATACTAGAGACATAATAAGCTGCTTAGTGTGAATTACAAAAGGAAGATTGTATTGAAGATGAAATCGAAAATCTTAAAATTACCCTGCTACAAAATAGTTACCCTACCAGCTTTGTAAAGAAGTATATTTCCAAAAGAACGGATAAAATTAAGCGTGATACGGTGAATAAGAAAAAGCTTTATTTGAGAATACAGTTCAAAGGTGACATATGCAGTGATCAGATCACTTGAAAAAACTTTCAGTGCCGCAGAACTACACATCATTTTCTCAACCAGATCGTTACTGACACAGTGCACCAAAGATAAATTATCAGAGATGGCAACATCAATGTGTGTATACAAGTTCAATTGCTCATGTAGAGCTAGTTATATAGGTCAAACTCGGACGAATTTGTCTTAACGCGCTTTTGAACATGCTCCTGTTTGCCTTGGAAAAAGTGTAACCAAATCGATAAATAATGCCTTTTTGTCTCATCTAGTAGATAGTGAACACCACATCAAAATAGATGAGTCATTTACGGTTGTATGTCGAGTGAGTACCAAATAATCTGCCTAAAGGCACACGATTATGTCTCTTAGCTATAGCGGAAGATACAGATATTAATAAGAGAAAACTTGTATGAGAGAGAAGCACATTCATCCTCTTTGTTTACCCTGGCCTACTATAAGGTAAGCAGGGACATAATTATCCATATTTTCATGTCATATTATACCTTCTTATTCCTTCTCACCTAGTTCACTTTACTCCATTACTTTTATTATGTAATTATTGTAATTTTAAGTCAATTAGTTGATAGTGACTAGCTGTGAAATCCAGGATGAAGCGCATTTCGTCCTATTTGGGACTGGCTTGTCAGATGGATGTACCTGCATTCCCCAGTGAGTGATGGTGTTCCCACTGAGGCTCGAACCCAGGGCCCATAGTTTCAAATGCGAAGGAGTTATCTACTGGACCACTTGGGTCAAGACAGCCATCTCTTGTGCAACGGGTCTTATTAACTATTTAATTCAATTTAGATTTTCCCATCGATTGACTGAACTGAAGTGCTAGGATTTTGTGTCTGTAGTACTGTATTATAGTTCACAATTTAACCTCTTTATTTTATCAATACACTTGATATCTGCCAGCTCTTGCCTAACTTGCATTCTTTGTTCCCCATTTTTATGGTATTCATTTGTATGTATTTTGTGGTAATCATTTTCCTCTCACACCATTGAACATAACTCACCCCACCGCACCCTACCCCCAGTGAAACTTATATTCTGTTGACTATAAATACACTAGTCTGTCACCCTTCTGTCTATTAACACTTTATCTTATGTTCTGAATGACTGAACATTTTTATATGCATTATTCATTTGACAGTATTAAATACCGAACTATCACTCCATATTATACATGTACCCGAATGCAGACAGTTTCCGATATAATTTTCACACGCCATTAATGACTGGCTATTTGTATTCTATAATACTCATGGATTCATAACTGTAGTAGAGATCCTGTGGGAGAATTTATCGGAACCACAATTGTTGGCTCAAAATCATCTTGTTCTGTTTAATTTAATCTGTTTTAAAAAAATCTTATTACTTGTTTATTCTTTTTGGTTTCAAGGTAAAGCTAATTAGACTAATGTATTATTTAAAAAGTCATTGACTGAGCTGTGTTTCAACGTAGAACTTTGCACAGAAGTGCAAGCATTCACCTTGTTACACTCCATACAAAGATGAATAAGAGAGATTCAAATAAACTATGATGTAAATAAACGTGCGAGAGGAATAATAGTAACATGTATATATATATATATATATATATATATATAAGGATTTAGTGGATCTGAGATAAGAAAAGCCATTAAGTGTAGGCAGACATAGCAGGGTTGAGTTCATCACACCAAAAATACTTACCAGCCATCAGCATACACTTCATACCCAATAATCAAGTTTACTAATACACTACTTTGTTCTCCTGAATATATAAAGGTTTGGGAACCATGTTTAACTTGAGAACTGTTCAACTAATGATAGCAATGTTTGATCGTGATATGAATGGTACAATTGGTTTTGATGAATTCTGTAATCTATTCAAGTATGTACAAGACTGGCAACAGTGTTTTCGACGTTATGATCGTGATAACTCTGGTTCAATTGACCGTCAAGAATTCGCCAATGCTTTGGCTAGTTTCGGTTATCGTTTATCCCCACAATTTGTTCAATTTATGTTACATCGTTTCGATCGAAATCGTCGTGGGTGTATTGCATTTGATGATTTTATTTATGCTTGTGTATGTCTACAGGTAAATTATTATATATGAATGAGTGTTAGTTTTACTTTTCATATTATTATTACAGTTGACTGAACGTAAAAAGCTTTTTATGAAGCAAGCACGTTTGGTCATCATTCTTGTATTATTGATGTAGTGTTTATCAAACATTATACTTACTAACTAACTATATTACTAGGTCATTTCGAATAATCACACATGTGCTATATGTATTTATGTATGCATGTATAAAGCCAGCTTATAGAACAGCATAATTCGGTAATTGAAGTCATATGATGTGCTTAGCACAAGTTTAGAGTACAGATTTATAGTAGTACTACTGGTAGTAATAGTAACTTAACAAGTTATAACATCCGGTGCTAATGATTTATTCATCAAAACTGTTGACGACTATTCCCGTGAAACGGCAAGTTACATATTTTCATTTTTCAAATTTATCAGTTCATATAAGAAGAACTGTAATTACCTTCACTCTACGGTTCTGTTCCCCTGATGATTTCACTTCTAGTTGATCACATTGATCAATTATTATTATTATTGTTTCCTTTAATTCCTAAAGGAACATAGGGCTTCAGCCGTGCGTCTCCATTGAGTTCGGTTCTCTGCTACAGTCTTCACCTGGCTCCAAGTCTGCCCACACGTTTTCATCTCCTCTTCACATGACCTCCTCCAAGTCACCAACCCTCGCACTGACGACCAACTCGCCGCTTCCCTTTCGGGTTCCACTCGAGCTATGGCTTGTCTAGTGATGTCACTTGATGGTTTCCTCAGAGTATGGCCAGTCGATATCCATCTCCATTTCTTCCTGCCTATTTGTTTCACAATCGGTTCCTGGTTGGTTCGCTCATTGCTAGAGATCTCTGTTGCTGATCGTTTCTGGCCATCTGAGTTTGAGTGGTATTGAGCGAAGACAACTGTTAATGAAGGTCTGTAGTTTGTTTGAGATGCTCTTTATGACGCGCAGTGCAAGTCTCTGATCCGTATATTAGCACTGACTGACTTCACATTGGAGTTGAAAATCCAGATCTTATTTTCATTTCCATGCTGAATGCTGTTGACCTCCACACAGACTTGACGTGAGTAGTGAAAGCTTGTCTTGCTTTTCCGATTCTTGCTTTGATATCCTCGTCAGACGTTCGGTCGGTCGGTTTTCGACATAGAACTTTGCACATATGTGCGGCAGTTCAAGTCGCCACAATCTATGTAGCACGCAAAGCAAGAGAAGGAAGTAGAAGAAATGCATAATATAGACAGTAAACAGAGGTGTGAGACAAAGGAATAGTAATAACGGAAAACAAAACAGTTTAATTGGAAATCATAAGTCACAAGGAGTGGATGCATCTGCGCCAGCCACTGAGAACGATTTTGAGCTATCTCACCAATTGTTTCCAACCATTGGTTTTTACCATCCCGAGGACCCCAACCAGGAAGTCTACATCTTCCTACTTGGCTTAGACTAACTGTTGTGGATTTCATTGACTGGTGCCATGTTTTGGCTTGACCGCCGCTAGCTCTTTTCCAGCCTGGTCCTATATCAGCTAACATTGCCCATTGTCGAGGAAGGCGATGACTAGGCATACGTAGCACATGTCCTAACCATCTCAGTCGATGTAATTTCACCGTTTCGTCGATTGATTTCCCTGCCTTACCTAGCTCTCGACGCCTAACCTGAATATTGCTCACCTTATTATACCACTTCACGTGGGAGATAGAACGCAGACACCTATGATCGAAGACAGCTAATCTTTTCATGTCTTCTGCTCTCAATGGCCAGGTCTCACAGCCATAAAGGAGGACGGAGCGGACTGTTGAGCAGTACACACGCCCTTTGGTCGATAGCCGGATATCGCGTCTACTCCAGAGACGGCGAAAACTGGCGAGTGCGAACCTAGCCCTCTGTATTCGTGCTGAAATTTCGTCTGAGATCAACCCGTTGGGGCTGATGGTACTTCCCAAGTAATTGAAGCGGTCAACGTGCTCTACCACTTCACTTCCTATTTCTAATCTAGGGGTCGATGAAGTCCAATCCTGCAGCATCATCTTACATTTTACAGGGGCGAATCGAATGCCAAACATTCGAAGATTGTTGCTCAAGGTGTTCAGTAGACTCTGCATTTTGTCAGAGTCCTCGCCTAGAAGGACTATATCGTCCGCATATTCTAAGTCAACGAGATTATTCCCTGGTAGCAAGTCAATCCCTGAGTCGCTGAAGTGTGATAGGGTTAAGTGCATTAGTACATCTATGATGAAGTTGACTAGGAATGGAGATAATGGGCATCCTTGACGGACGCCACTAGTCGTCATCACTTCAGATGACAACTCGCCATAAGCCCTCACCTGGCTGCATGGGTACGAGTAGAGTGCCTTAATCAGTGCAGTGTATTATCTTGGCATTCCCTTTACAGCCAAGCATCGCCAGAGAACCTCCCGGTCGACAGAATCGAATTCCGCCTTTAGGTCAAGAAAAATAATGATTGTCGGACGCCGGTAGGAATGCCTATGTTCTAGAATCTCGTCAGATGTTACAACTCATCTACCTGGGGAAGATTTTATATGTGAGGAACTATGCTTTAAGCCATATATATTGTGTGAGGAGCTCTGATGATGACACATAATTGTCCAGGTTTAGTGACATAGAACAGAATCTGAAACTGATACCTATCGGTTGAGAGTTGAGGGCTAAAGTCAATAAACCAACAATCTCTGCATGAGTTGGAGTACAAGTCTGTCTACAGTTTACCTAAATATTTTTTGATATCGTTGCATATATATATATATATATATATATGTTTTATAAAAAGCTAGTTTAGCGTATTTGGGTAACGCTACTGCCTCCGCATTCTTTCTCACGTTGATATGTAACCGTCACATGACTAGTGCTGAAGTGTAGTAAGTAAGTAGGCTAAACAAGTCAATTCTGTAGAAAAAGTAGGAGACGTCTGCTCATGGAGTAGTAGTGGATGGGGGTCATACATGCCTAGCAAGATTCCACCTCAACGTGGTACGTTAGCCATGAATGACTAGAATCAAGTGTGACACCAGTCCGTAGAGCCATTGAACCTTGAGGTACGATGATGTATGTAGAAGATTGTAGCTTACCTCTTGGTAGTCCATGAAACTATAAGAACTTGTGGTGTGGTTAGAAGCACAAAGTGAAATTTCTCAGAATCGATTGCAATGGCACAAATACATACATGACTTGTTTCAATCTGTATCATAATCTTTCATCTCCCACTGTTTCCGTTGATGTAGTCTTCTAAGACTGTAAATGCCTTTTTTTTCACCACTAACACGACATTTAAACCAAGTTTCTCAAGATTAGATACAGTCTTCTAATTACCTAAAGATCGTTTCATTGTGATATACTTTATAAGACTAAAATTTCTTGACAACCTGATCAGTTAATTTACTAAAATCAAATAGTGAATAGCTTTTAAAATACTTACAGAGAAGTGGTCAAACCAAAACATGGCTTCATCAGTCAATGAAATCCATAACAGTTAGTTTAAGTCACATGGAGAGGTGTAGATTTCCTGACTGACTGGTTGGGATCCTCGGGATGGTAATAATCAATGAAGGTTGTAGAGTATTGGTGATATGACTTAAAATCGTTCTTATCGGTACAGATGCATTCACTCCTTGTGATTTATCATATCCAATAAGATTCGATTGTTCTTCCCTAAGAGTGTTCGTTTTGCCTCACACTTCTGTTTATTATCTCTTTTGAATTTCCTCCCTTTACTCTCTTCTCTTGCTTTGTGTGCTACATAAAGGGAGTGTGGGGCAACTCGAACTGTTGCACATCTGTGCAAAGTTCTATGCTGAATCCAGTCAGTCATTCACAGACTGATAACCACTTGCATATATTGCTCATGATTGAAAGACTTTTTTCTACGCTACTTCCTACGGCTAATCAGTTGATTTTCGTGATCATCATAACCATATGATCGGGGTAATTAGATTTCGATTCATATAAGCTAACTGATCTGCATCGACCTCTGCTTTAAACATAAGCATTTGTCAGCTCCTGTCATTTTTGGTGTGTAGACGTGATAGCCAGTAGTCTACTAAAGGACTTGTGTGCTACTCATTAGTTCACTCTTTCCTCCTATATGGCTGTGAGATGTAGCCATTGAAATTGAAAGATATGAAAGGGCTAGCTGTCTTCGAGCACAAATATTTGCGTTCTCCGGTGTTAACTGTCATCATGTTGAGTAAGTAAATGTTTAAGTTAGGTATAGAGTGCTAAGTAAGGAACGGAAGTCAATCGATGAGGTTATGAAGTTATATCGATTGAGATAGCTAGGATATATTGAGCATACCGGGCTACTGTAACTTCTTTGACGAGCAACGTTAGCCGAAATCGGGGTTGAGTTGGAAAAAAATCAAGGGTGGTCAAACGAAAACCTGGCATCAATCTATAAGGGGTCTTTGACTATTGGTTTGGGCCAGACACTTAGGGAGGTGTAAACTACCCGGTTTAAGGTCCTCGAGTCGCTAAGATCCAATGGCTTAAAACCGTTAGTGATATGGCTCAGAATCGTTGTCAATGACGTGCGCAGATGCATTCACTGGTTGCAGTCTCCCAGATCCACTAAACTGTCATGTTTTTCTACGTTACTACTCTTTCGTTCTCCTGTACACTTCTGTTCGTCATAACTATTTTGAGTTTTTGTTTTCCTTCCCCTACCTTTGTGTGTGCTACATGGAGTCTAGCAACTTGAACAGCTGCACTTCTGTAAAAAGTTCTCCATTGGAACTCGGTCGATCAGTCGGACATATTTTGGACTATATACGTGCTTCCTAGTGCCTCCGTGGCACATCACTTAGCATGCTGGCCGACCATGCACATGGTCCGGGTTCCGATCCCCGGCCATGGATGCACTCCTTTACCTCGCTAAGTCAGAAGTAAAGCTGGTGAAGAGGAATGATTGGACATGAGGCGGCTAGCGACCCCATCCTGTAAAAATAAACACCACTGCTACCGAAACTTCAAGCCTCTAGCTTGAAACCCTATGTTCCACTGGGATCGTGAAGGAATTAATAATAAATAATAATAAGTGCTTTCCAGTAGTAGTAAATAACTTGAAGTTTAGCAACAGAACAATGGATATTGAAATCATACATGTGATTGGTTTTAACAACTATTTACAGGAATCGATTCTTGGTAGTAAATTTTCTTTCATTGGCATCTGAAAGATGATAGACTTGAGTCTAGACAGGAACACAGGTGTCCCTACTAACATTACAAATACACCAAAAAGTGTAAAATATCAGCTCATCGCTTGCTGCTGAATTGACTCAAAACAGTCTCAAATGGAATGAATTTTGTGAAATTTCGTGAATTCCAACATGTTGTCTAGTCAAGCATTAAGACGTTTGCCAGTAGTTTAAAGTTAGCGTATTTTAAGAGGCTCATCTGAAAGTTCTTAATTGATGCTTGACTAATACTAATATTCATTGTTAACGTTATCGTTTACCTGTTAGACTTGGCCACTGTGGTAGTGTATGTAATTCCACATTATTTTGTCTCCTGGATACCATATACACACACATAGTGGAACAGTATTACTAACTTTTTTTATTCCTTCATGTTCCCAGTGGGTCATATGGCTTCAAGCTAGAGGTTTGAAGTTTCGGTAGCAGTGGTGTTTATTTTTACAGGATGGGGTTGCTAGCCGCCTCATGTCCAATCAATCGTCTTTACCAGCTTTACTACTGGCTTAGCGAGGTAAAGGAGTGCATCCATGGCCGGAGATCGAATCCCGGACCATGAGCGTCTTAACCGCCATGCCACCGACGCACTGTATTATTGACTGGTTGACTATTTATCGCTCACAGTCATATCATCAATTGTAATTACACCAGTTGGAAACTTGATTTTTATAGTTCTCTTTCTTGCTTCATGTTTGTCTTAAGGGTAGTAGAATTTTCCAAATGTCAGGTTGTAGTGTAGGCAAGTGAAGTGAAATGTCATAGGCCAAATTAGTAGGATGGTGTTAATTAGATTAACAGAGCACAACACAGTCTAACAGAATATAGATCTAAATCACCCTACATATAGTCACTACTTGCAGTTATACACAACCATACAACAGAATGGAACAACATAACAGTCTTAAAATATGATGTAACAGGATGTTGGGAAAAGTGAATAACTGAAGCCTTTACTTATGCAATCAACTAAAAGAATACGCGTGCAATAGGAATTCAATTCAATACCTGTCTACCCAAACATCTGAAAAATTCTAGTACCAATCTGGAGAAAAATAGAGAGAATTCAAGTTTCGAAGTCGTTTGATTACAGTTGACGTCAGTTAGAGGACTATTAGAAAACCAGGTAGTACTGGACAGCTGTTTCGTCAGCCTAGTTTGAGAGTCTTCTGGTGCTCAGTAGCGACTAGCTGTATACAGAAGGTCACTTGAGAAGCCTTAACCCGATCGGTCTATGGAGTCGGATAAGAGAACACGTACACACCTATGATATTGGCTGGCGGCGGTCACATTGTATATGCATATCGGGAATTGGTAGAAGTTGGAATTCATAGGTCATTAGAGCGTGTCCTAGTGGCTGAGTGGTCTACGAGCTCGCCTGGCGCGCGGTAGGTCCTGGGTTCGAACCCCAGTGGGTGGTGCGTACTGCTGAATGAAGGGTCCTAAACAAGGATGAAACAACTGTCCAGTACTCCCTGGTTCTGCTGTGGTTCTCCAATAACTGATGTCAACTCGTGATCAAATCCTTGTGAGCCAGTACTTGACAAGATACCGTGTGTTCAAAACGTCGTCATCCAGTCAATAATACTGTTTCACTGTGTGTGTGTATGTGTGTGATGTATATCCAGTAAAAAATTGATATAACTGACCGACTGTTTTCAACGTAGAAATTTGAACAGAAGTGCAACCGTTCGAGTTGCCACACTTCATGTAGCACACAAAACAAGCGAAGAGAGTAAAGAGAGAGAAATAATAAACAGAAATGCGAGGGAAAAAGAATAGTAATATGGAAAAACAATAGAGTTTCATTGGATATGACAAATCACAAAAAGTGAATATATCTGTGCCATCATTAACAAGGATTTTGAGCCAGCCATATCATGCATTGTCTCTAGCCATTGGTTTTTACCATACCGAGGACCCCAACCAGTCAGTCAGGAAGTCTACACCTCCTTCCCTACTTGGTTGGTTGGTTGGCTGGTTTAAACCAGCTGTTGTGGGTTTATTTAACTGGCTGATGAAGCCATGTTTTGGTTTGACCACCACCAGCTAACTCTTCTCTAACCTAATCCATCCTATGTCAGTCACTTAACACTGCCTGTTGTCGAAGAAGGCTATCGATGGCTAGGCCATGCATGCATAGCACATATGCTAACCATCTCTCTCAACTGGTGTAACTTCACAACCTCGTTGTCTATTGATTTCCCCTCCCACCTACCTAGCACTCGACCGATGTCTAACCTCAATATTGCTCACCTGATTATACCACACCACCTAACACTCACAGGAGATAGAAGGGAGCCACCTGTGATGAAAGACAGCTAGATAACCAGACTTTTCATGTCTTCCACTTTCAATGGGGGCCGTGTCTCACTCACAGGCATGAAGGAGGACAGATCGAAGTGACTACTGAGTAGTACACACGTCCTTCGGTCGACAGCCAGCCGGATATTACGTCTACTAAGCCAGAGGTGGCGTAGCTGGTTGGAAAATGCCAAATGAGCTTTCTGTATCCGTGGTGAGATTTCGTCAGCGATCAACTCGTTGGCGTTGGCTGATGCAACATCCCCAATAGGTGAAGTGGTCAGCCCACTCAACCACTACTCCACTCTTGCCTATCTTTAAGCTAGAAGTCAATGAAGTCTTGCTTTTGTATTTCTCCGAAAATAAAGCACAACATTTTTTTTTGGTTTCTTTTGACAGACTCTGACAGGTGCTTTCAGACAATATGACTATCGAATGGTTGGTCAGGCACAATTTTCATTTGAACAATTTTTAACGGCAGCATTCTCAGTTGTCATATAAACACGACTTAATTTAAACTTGATTTAAACAAAATTTTTCTTGTCAAGCATAATTTGTAACTGCATTCATTCAAAAAGAAAGAAAAAAAGAAAACTCTTTCTGCTTTTAGTTTTTTTTAATTATAAACTTTCCTTAATATTGTTTTGTTTTTTAATTTTTAAGGAAAATAGAATATTCCTGCTTGATTTTTTCATACCCTATTTGTACTTATGATATGATATAATCCCTGAAATTTTTATTCTATCAAATCGTCTATTGTTGGTTGGTTGGTTTGTTTATTTCGTCTTCCTGTACTTTGCATTTGGATTTTTATCAAAAAAAAAAAAAAAAAAACAGAAATCTACGTTGTACTTTCTTTTGATCTGCAGTGTATATTTATTTTGATTTGACTGTGTGTTGAAGTTGAATTTTTCATTTTAGCGTTTCAGATCACGGAATAAATCAATATTATTATTATTATTATTATATGTGTGGTGAAGTTGTTCACGAATTTATTGATCTGTATAGTGTTGTTTTGTTGTATGCGTATATACATATAAGTGATTTTCTAAAAATAAGTTGGTTTTTTTTAAAATCTTAAAGTAGCTATGTGGAAGAGTAAGGTGGTGTGTTAAGGCTGCACAATCCCTTTGGCACTAAATATATATTGCTGAATGTTGTAAGTGTTTAAGTGGACAAAAGCGTTTTATGGTTTGATGAAACAGCTGTGTTTCGTAAAATATGTAATCTAAAACAATTAGTTCCTTTTTTATGAATTTAGACAACGCAATAAGAATACGTAATTTGTCTGAATCGTGTATTGCTGGTGGTTGTAAGAGATATTGTCAGGTTCCGTTCGCGATTTATAGGTGGTCTACGAGCTCGCCTTGTTACCAGAAGGTCCTGGGTTAGAACCCCGGTGGATGCATACTGATGACGAGTCCCAAACTAGGACGAAACAGCTGTCCAGTACTCCCTGTTGGTTTTCCAATGCTTCTCTAACCAATGTCAGCTCATGATAAAATTCTGTACTCAATCAATCAAATCCCTACAAACCAATACTTGAATAGATAAAAGAGATTCAAAGGAACTTTGATGTAAAGAATTTACGAGAGGAAGAACAGTAACATGGGGAAGCTTGGGGATTTAATGAAACTGACTGATTATGAAGAGTGAATGAATCTGCGCTACTGAAAACCATCTCGAGGCACATATCACCAACAGTCTTAAGCCATTGGTTCAAGGACCCTAGTCAGACAGTCTACATCTCCCTACATGCATAGTACAAATTACCTATCAAAGGTTCTGCCGTTTGATTTCGGGTTTTAGTTTGATCAGTCAGTCTACAATAAAGTAGGAGTCTTTTGAGTTTATAAACACCTTTATTAGTAATGCTAAACACTTTTGATTGGATACTAGTTAGTAACTAGTGTAATGTGTCTAGTCCTCCTATCTTCGATGCAGATTGAATTCTATCAGTCAAGTGTGCAGTGTGGCCACCATACTAGGTGGTTCGCCATCACGGTGCACTGTGAATTGTTGGTATTAGATGGTTGGAGGCAATCGGCCACAGGAAGCCTTGCGCAACATAGGTTTCGTGCTAATCGGCACTCATCAGCAAGGCATACCTACAAGGCGAACTCATGTGCCTTCGAGATTGTAGGTACGCCTTGCTGATGAGTGTCGATTAGCACGAAACCTAGGTCGCTCAAGGCTTCCTGTGGCCGATCGCCTCCAGGCATCTAATACCAATCAATGCCTAAACACTTCCTGTGGGGGATAGATTTCATCTCCATATATACATAAATTTACTAATTTAGTATGTATCTTTCAGGAGAAGCCGAAACAGCCAGTTATGGCAGCTAAATTATAATAATGGGATCAGTTGCCCATGGAATACGAGATGGTTTATGAGATGTTGAATGTTGATTTTGGTGTAGTGTTGCTATGATTATTTCCGATATATCGATATAGGGATAAAACTTGGGCACAGTGGTAGAGTATAATTCCATTATGAATAAAATTTTATTTTGATTAAATCACACAGTGTAGTGCTGTACAGTAATATTTACTAATGACGACGTTTCGAGCACAATTTATTAACTTCAGCTCATAATCATATGAAGACACTATTCACACAACTTTCTTCTTTCATTTATATACACCAGTAAAAGATTGATTAGATATTTGAGTGAAATCAATATAAGACTTGCGTGAAACAGAAAGGAAGATAAAGTACATTCGGAACCACTATTAGTGTCATCAATGAATATTGTATGATGAGAATTAAGACGGAGTGTTGTTAGTCAATAACATAGGAAATAAGATGTTTTCACGGCAAAATAAATAACTTGTCATAGTGTGAATTGAAATACACTTTAACATTATTTATTATCCTCTGATCTGACTAGTAATAATATCTTCCATATCTCTGGTATTGACGATGAGTCATTCCTATCACATATGTGGGGTGTAGATTGCATGAGAAAAGATTCAGTAATCAACCTGTCTCGCTCTCCACCTACCTATATTACTTTTCAGAATTTCAACCCTCTCCCACCCTATTGTGTGGTTGTGTGTTTATGCATGCAGTGCAATTGCTACCGAACTTTTTTCTAAATTACTCATCTTTCTTCGTGGGGTCAATCATTCTTGCCTTAGCTGAATTCTTATGTTCTGATAATCTCACTACTCCCGATCTACTAGTTTTACCTACGTAGTTGACCTCACTCATAGTCATTGCAGTGTATTTTGTAAATTATATTATTTTGCATAATTGGGTCAACTGTAAGTGTCTTTAGCCGACAGAGCTTGTCTCTGAGTGAGTTTGTAGGTTTGAATGCCGCCCTAATTCCTTTTTTATTAAGAATCCTACGTAGGTTCTCAGATCTCCTCTCCTTACATAGATAAAACTGTAGATGCCTCATATTCTCTCATCTATGTTATCATTATTACTATTAGTTTCACCATTACTTTTATTTTGTTTTTGACCGTTTCTGATTTTCCTAATGCATTTTATAGGATAGTTATTTAACGGCAACGCTTCTTCTAACTGTTTCATTTTATAGTTTGTCTTTTGTTATACTTATTTAGTGCTGTTGCTCCGTTTGTTAGACACTTAACTAAGCCTCCTGCCTTAACAGATAACGGATGAGATGAATTAAAGTCTAAATATCTATTAGCAGAATGCGTTGGTTTTTTATAAACCCTGGTGTGCAGGCTACATCCTTCTATTTGTTTTATTTTACAACCTAAAATAGCTTACTCCCCTTTTCCATTTTCCGATTCGAATGTGAATCTTATGCCTTTCACCAGTGAGTTTATGTATGTGTGTGTGAAGAAGCTAGAGAGATATGTTCTGTGTTTAACACTGTGAGTGAAAATGTCATCCATATACCTCCACCATATTTTTGGAGTAGGATTAAGTGAATGCATTAAGAGCCATATTTTACCAGCTGTCCATAAAGGTATCTCCTACGATAGGGGATATTGGTGATCCCATTGCTACACCTTCGGTTTGTCTATATATTTTGCTCTGGAATTTAAAGATAGTAGATGTGAGGCATAACTGAATTCCTAAAATAATTTTCTCAATAGGCAGCTTTGTCCTGTGGCTACATTCGGGATAGGCATGCTGTTTCACGCAAGTCTTATATTGATTTCATTCAAATATCTAATCAATCTTTTACTGGTGTATATAAATGAAACAAGAAAGTTGTGTGAGTAGTGTCTTGATATGATCATGAGCAATAAGTTGTTGTCGAAACGCCATTATCAGTCAATATTACTGTATAACACTGTATAACACACTAGTTTTGATATAACCAGTCTTTATACTAATATACCAGTCAATATGGCCTTAGAAGCAGTTAAAAAAGAACTAACTGCGGATACTGAACTCAATCATAGGACAAAGCTATCCATTAAAGAAATTATTTTAGGGATTCAACTATGCCTCACATCTACTATCATTAGATTCCAAGGCAAAATATATAGACAAACTGAAGGTGTAGCAATAGGATCACCAATATCCCCTATCGTAGCAGATATATTTATGGACAGCTGGGAAAATATGGCACTTAATACGTTTAATCCTACTCCAAAAATATGGTGGAGATATGTGGATGACACTTTCACAGTGTTAAAAACAGAACATATCTCTAGCTTCTTGACACACATAAACTCACTAGTGGAGGGAATAAAATTCACATTTGAAACCGAAAATGAGCAAGGAAAATTAGCTATGTTAGATTGTAAAATAAAACGAATAGAAGAAGGCAAACTACACACTAGTGTTTATAGAAAACCAACGCATTCTAATAGATATTTAGACTTTAATTCATCTCATCCTTTAACTGTTAAGGCAGGCTTAGTTAAGTGTTTAACAAACCGAGCAATGGCACTAAGTAGCACAAAAAAAGACCTAAATGATGAAATAAAACAGATAGAAGAGGCGTTGGTTTTAAATAACTATTCTCTAAAATTCATTAGGAAGATTGAGAAACGCAAAAAGAAAAATAAAAAGAATCGTGAAAATAGTAATAATAACATAAATAAGAGAGAATATAAGTTATCTACAGTTATACCATATAAAGAGGGGACATCTGATACCCTACGTAGGATTCTAAATAAAGCAGGAATTAGGGTGGCATTTAAACCTACAAACTCACTCAGGGACAAGCTCTGTAGGTTAAAGGACCCAGTGGACCCAATTAGACAAAATAATTTAATTTACAAAATACCCTGCAATGACTGTGAGGTCAACTACATAGGTCAAACTAGTAGGTCAGGGGTAGTCAGATTGTCAGAACATAAGAATTTAGCTAAGGTAAGAATGGTTGACCCAGAGATATAAGTAATTTAGAAAAAAGCTCGGCAATTGCAATGCGTGCATCAACACACAACCACACAATATGGTAGGAGAGGGTTAAAATTCTAAAAAATTAATCTAGGTAGGTGGAGAGTGAGAGAGATTGATTACTGACTGAATCCTTCTTCATCGAATCTACACCCAACACATGCAATAGGAATGAATCATCACTCATACCTGAAATATGGAAAATAATACTACCAATCAAATCAAGTGAAAAACAATGGAACTATATAAATGAATTTAGGAAGTCGTGTGATTACCTTGATATGATTATGAGCAATAAATTGTGCTCGAAACGTCATCAGTAAATATTACTGTATAACACTGAGACTCTATCAAAATAAAAATTTACCCATAATGTAATTACATTCTACCACAGTGCCCAAGTTTTATTCTTATATCAATAACACTACACTGTATGATTTTGTCAGAATAAAATTTTATCCATAATGGAATTTCCGATATATTGTCTTCTAATCCTTCGTGTGTACTGTGTTAACGTTACATTTGCCTTCATATACATAGGCAGCTTTGTAAGTTATTAAGTGAGACGCATGCCTTTATTTCTTTTGCCTTCCAAAGTGAAGCCTAGGGTTTCAAGTGGTGGTGAAGTTTTGTCTAACAGTGATGTAGTAGTTTGCTAGCTCCCATCTGATAAAAATGGCATTTCAAGTATTGTTTTTGTAGGGATTTTGTTTGATTGGA